TATTATATAATATATTAAATTAAAAATGTAACCATCATCATCCAACTAGTAAACTAAGATATACGAGGGCAGAGTGCCTTCAACAAAATTTTTCATGAAAAAATATAGAGGAAGGAGGATGAGGAAATTCAAAACTCAGAGTGACGACGAAGTAATCTTGCTATTGCCAGGAAAAAGTGAAATTTTGGGGACTATAAATATTGGAAATTGCTGAGAAAAAAACTGATAATTAATATTGTTGACAATGATAATTAAAAACTTTTAAATATATTAATAATAAAGCCACATACAAAAAATTTAACAAAATATATGAACATCTTAAAAAAAAAAGTTAAACTCTCAATTTGGTTTCTGAATTATTATATGGACCGTCGATTTGATCCTTACTATTTATTAATTTGCCCCTAATTTGTCTTTTTGTACAAAAAAAAAACTGATGTGTTTAGTATTTAATGGTGAAAAACAATAACTTAACGGCAAAAAACAGTAACTTAACGGTCACATGTCACATTAATAACGAGACATGTCAGCTGTTTTTGTATAAAATGACCAACTTGAGGTAAATTGGTAAATAGTAGGACCAAATCAGGGGTTTGTACAATAGTTGAGGGATTAAATTGGAGATTTTTTAGTTTAGGGACCAAATTAAAGGTCCGTACAATAGTTCAAAAACCAAATTAAAAATTTAACCAAAAAAAATTTCTGACAATGCAAAGTCATGATTTTTATTTTCCTCTCTATATTTCCCCTTTCTTCACCAAAATGTGAATCTTCTCTTTTGCTAGCCTTTTCTCTTTCCTTGTTCACATCGGGATCTTTTGGGTGTGGTTACAATCACTCATAAATAGTTTAAGTTCACTTAATTCTATCTAATTTAATTGTTAAAAATAATTAATAATTAATAATATAATTAATATTTATTATTTAACAATTAAAATCAATTTATAAATTAATATTTTTAAATATCATAATTAATTGTTAATAAAATTACAAATAAATAAAATATTACTCTAATTAAATAATTTTTAAATAATTTTAACAAAATTGTGGGCAATCTAATATTAATTCTAAGCGCACGATTTTGAGGACCTATTGATTTTGAATGCTTATTGAATGTGCTGCTTTTGTATCATACCGCTTTGTTTATGTTCCTAGATCAGCTAATCAAGTAGCGGATTGGCTGGCAAAAAATGGTTTTGTTATAACAATTGCCCCTAAGACTGGGTTACCTATCCTCACCCGAGTCGAAGAGGGATTTTTTTTAATTTATATTTTTTCCCAACCAGCAAAAAATCTTTATTAGTGTAAAAATTAAATATAAGAGTTAAAACAAAAAAATTTATATAAAAGAAAAAAAAAAGAGAAAAAAAAAAAAACAATATATATGTGATACACATATTTGTATAATATTTTACAATAAAATATTTTCACTTAATACTACATTCTCACGTGCTAGTTCAATATTAATTATGAATCCCATCATGTGAACGCCCTCTTTAGTTTTCACGTATAGGTCCGAACTGTTACGTGTATTTTGAGCTAACAAATAAGTTTACCTTTCTTTTATGTAGCCTGAACCATTACGAAAACTTAAGCTTCTAAAAACAAAGTCTGAATATTAATATCATATAAAAATTAAGCATGTAAACTTCAAAATAAAGTTTATATTTAATTTAAAATTAATTAATTATTAATAAAATAACTTTTATTATATTTAATTATTAATATAAAGTATAAAAGATATTCTTATATTCCCATTACAGATAGTCTTAATAATATAAGTTCAAACAAATAGCAAGCATCCACTTAATAAATAAGACCAAATAGAACATTTCAAAAACATTTCTTATAGGAGACTAATTCTAAATGCAAACCTAACATGAACTATTTTGTAAGCCCAAAAAACAGCCACTCGTTGAGACTTATAGCAGCACTCAAAAAGTAAATCCCGCCACGCATTAGCTTTAATTCAATTGTAATATCTGAATTTCCGTGTTGATCGAGAAGGTTACTAATGTACCGATTGCCTTGAATCCTTTTTTGAGGTTCCAAAAATGATAAGGCCAACTGTCGGATTCATAGTGGTCACAGGATTTTACCAAGTTTCAACTTCCAAGTGGTAGGAGGTAGGTAATTTACGTAGGTTGATTTCTGTTGACAAGATTATATACCAGTTTCAAGTGGCAGGAGGTAGGTAATCTAAATAGGCATGATTTTATGGTAACATATATCCTAGGTTAGGTTTCTCTGTTTGTTTTTTCCTTCTTTTCCATAAAGTCGGTGATATCAGGGTTGGGTTTTTTTCTTTTTTTTTCTCACAAAAGGAATTGGAGGAAAAGGGAGAAGGAATTGGGAAACAAGGGATTTTAAAAACAAGGGATTTAAATTTTGACGATGTAAGTGAAAAACTCATATAATAATTATATAAATTATGTATTAAATTTAAAAAATATTTAAAATTTTATAAAATAAAAAATTTTATGATTTGATAATTGAAACCAAACATGATAGAATTTTTTTTGTCAAATTTTAGCAACCGCTAGGTGTTAATAAGTTTTTTTTTAATAGAATACCGATTTGTATAATAAAGATATTTTTTAAAATTTTACATTTTTTTAATTTATCTTGAAACTTAATCTTAAGATGTAATATAAAATTAAAATTTTTAGATTTTTTTTTTTGACAGAAGTAATGGTTAACAGTTAGAAATTAAAAGTTAAAAGTTAGAAGTTAGAAA